CCCCCCCTTCCCCAAACAATGTGACCACACTGGGAATGACTGCAAAGTAGGCTAATTTTCATCTGGTATCATTCCTCATTAATAAATGTGCAATTTTCAGTCTCAACCAGGCTAACAAAAATAGTAATGTAGTGACTCATTTGCCTGCTTTGGAGGGGGAAATTCCCGTGGACTGACTCAGTTAATTTACTGAGTCAGTCTTGTAAGAACTCTCCTGAAGCCAAGGTAGTGTCACTATCCTGTTTTGGCTATTCCCTTTGTTGTTTTGTTTCAGATTGTGAAAGAGTCCTACCCAGACCACACCCAGTTTGACAGTAAGGACCCACACTATGACAGGTAACATTTAGAACACTTAAGACAGTTCTTCCTAGCCATGTTAGTAATAGTAGGCTCCATATCTCGCTTATCTCTCTTATCGAAAAGAACCTCGTTAAAAAATACATGCCAGAAGCACATTATAAATGCTCTCCAAAAAGCCCAGTCATATACATGTATCCCGCATATGCTTCGGTCCCAATTGAAAAAGGGCCCTGCGGGCGTGAACCGTACGTGGCCCCACGGGACACCATGCGGCTACCGGGCTATTTTTGGGCCCGGCGGGGACCTGAGAAAAATTTAATTCTGACTTAAATTCTACCCGGGCCAAGCTGACAAAAAGAAGCCATGACCTCACCGTGAGAACACCGACAAGTACCCCTCCAGTTGCCGGCAGTCCACCGGGACACATTTATTACGTTACAGACCAGAGAAACAGAAAAAAGGTGTGTACTTCGTAAACCCGGGTAAAATGTGTGACGTCACAGATCGAAGGATCACAACTAAAGCGTGAATTCTGCATTACGTATAGGTCAGCACAAGACATTGTCAGAGAACCTGCCGGGTGCCTGCCGGAGACTGACCAAAGAGGAAGACAAAATTTTTAACAAAATGCTACGGAAGGAAACTTTTAATTGTGACCACGACAGCCGATGCCCCCCAGACTCCTTAGCCCGACCGGGGCTGGCCGGGGCTACATCCCCGACGGGCACCGGCGCAATTGGCGCTTTAGGAGGCGAAGTTATTCCCAGTTATTAAGATACATATTGTAGAATTTGTATTCTCTCAATTCCACGAAGTGATAGTACATGTATATATGGTCCTCTCTAATCTCCAAGAGATAATTGTTTTAGCAAGATATGCAGAAGTATAGTTAAGTGTATATGTTATAAATATGATTGCTCAGTAGGAGTACTACTGGATACTCAGAAAATAAGTTTTCTACAATGTTTTGTGTTTCCAGTTAAACCTATGTCATTTGGCATAGAAATACATGAGAGACACTAGGAAAACTTTGAAAACAAAATCACATTTAGTAGAAATTCTTCGATCAGTGACTGTATTTTTGTAAGGTAGATTACGTACCTCCAAATTTTCGGTGTCAACTGTACACCTTGATCACGGA